ACCCAAAGTTTTGCAGAATAAGGATACCACCCCCTATTAACTGGAGGATGGACACACAAACACCATGTCCCTGCACACATATTGAGAAGCTGGTGGCTCTTCCAAACTTTCATAGAATCATAGAATCATAGAGTTGGAAGAGACCACAAGGGCCATCGAGTCCAACCCCCTGCCAAGCAGGAAACACCATCAGAGCACTCCTGACATATGGTTGTCAAGCCTCTGCTTAAAGACCTCCAAAGAAGGAGACTCCACCACACTCCTTGGCAGCAAATTCCACTGTCGAACAGCTCTTCATGCATGCTCATCAGGAAATATTACATAAAGAAAGAATGAAGGTTCACAGACAGCTGCCAATCACAGTGGGATAGAGGGAAGGAACGAAGAAAAAGAAAATTTGCAGATTAGTGGGGAGGGAAGGATTTTAGAAGTGATTGTTGCTACTTCTCTGTCTGCACTCCTCCTGCAGTGGGTGTTAACAGTGAGCCTTCAGTGTGACCTTCACTAGGACTAAGCGCCTTCTTGCCTCTTCTCGATGATTCTGCAGTCTGAACCGGAAGAAGGGAATGAATGGCATGCAGCTGTTTATTCAGTCCCTGCCAATGTAGTGCTTTGAGACTTAAGGTATTAATGGGATGTTCATCGTCACAGCAGCTCTGCCAGCTAAGGGAAGAACTGCACCCCCTCTTCTCATCACCACCACCTCATTTAGCAGCCGGGAAAGCAATGCAGCAGTCAAAGCACTGTCCAGGGAATCTGAGCCAGAACCAAGCGTTCCCAAATCAGTACCTTAAGCCACAAGGCTGTTCCAAGCGTGGAAAGTGACTCCAGAGAGACTTGCGAGGGAAGGAAGTCTGCACATCTGTCGCTGCACTGCGAGTCGCTGGATCTATCTTGCAATGTGGATTTTGTGGCATCGTGGCCATTTGAGTGTGTGCATTGATAAACTCCCTTGTATCCAGGAGGCCTTTCCAAGTGCACCTGGAAACCCTTCCTCTCAAAGTGTGCGGGCGGGGAATGGAATCTGTGCAGCCCAACAGGGTGGATATGCTTCCTCTGTCCTGGACTGCTTCACTCTTTTATGGGGGTAAACATCATGCCTTGCATCTTGATTGCCGGCTACACAAAGATCACTTTTCAGGCTTCCATTCACAACCTGAGCCTCTTCAACTGCATATGTGCTGCAGTTCAGGTTTCTAAATTTTGTGGAAATGACTACTAGCCATCATGGCTGTATTACCTCTGAATACCAGTTGCTGGGAGTGCTATTGTGCTCCTGACCTCCTTGTGGGCATCCCAGAGGCCAGGGGTGATTGGCCTGTAGCCCTCCATAGGTTGCTGGAATACAGCTCCCATGATCCCTTGGTCATTCTAGGTGGATCTGGTGGGAGTTGGTGGGCTACAGGTTAGCCACCCCTGCCATGAGCATCTGGTTGGCCATAGCAGAAGCAGGACGCTGAACTAGGTAGGTGTTTGGTCTGATCTGGCACGGCTTTTCTTATGTTCTGATGCCCTAAGGACATTGGCCCCTGACTGACACCTCAAGTTAGTGCTGGAGGTCAACCAAACATATTTATATTGCTCATGAATGTGTTTTGGGGATGAGAAGGACCAAAGTGGTCCAGGAAGTCACGCAGATGCAGAACCTGAAGTAAGTAAAAGTGAAATTATTGCTGGTGTATTTTCATACCAAGTGGGCTGCAAGAGTACTTTGACAGGAAACCTGTAAGCCCCACACTGCTTTGTCACGGGGTGGGGAAGGAAGGCAAAAAATTCAGGCTCCCTCCTTCAGCCCTCACAGCTTCCTCTCCAAAGCTGGCTAAGCAAGGAGCTGGGCTTTGGGAAGGAGGCATGAGGTTCTGGCAGGGTCCTAGAGTCCTTCCACCTCCTTCCCAAAGCTGGAAAAGTGATGAATAGACTTTGGGAAGGAGAAAGGAGGGCTCTAGGACCGTGTCAGGGCCTCATGCCTTCTTCTCAAAGCCCAGTGCTTTGCTTACCTGGCTTTGAGAAGACAGTGTGAGGGCTGGGGGGGGCATCAAATGTTGCTGAGGGCCAATGAAAAAGGCATTGAGGGCTGCATGTGGCCCTTGGGCTGTGCATTGTACCACCCTGTCTTGCTGCACATTGATCTGTCTTAAAGGTAAAGGGACCTGCCTCATCTTGCTTTATTGGCCAAGGGAGCCGGTCTACAGCTTCCGGGTTTTGTGGCCAGCATGACTAAGCCGCTTCTGGTGAACCAGAGTAGTGCACGGAAATGCCGTTTACTTTCCTGCCAGAGTGGTACCTATTTATCTACTTGCACTTCATGCTTTTGAACTGCTAGGTTGGCAGGAGCAGGGACTGAACAACGGGAGCTCACCCCGTCGCAGAGATTCGAACCGCTGACCTTCTGATCGGCAAGCCCTAGACTCTGTGGTTTAACCCACAGCTCCACCCACATCCCATCTGTCTCTCTTAAAGGGCTTCAAATATCTCAGCTCACCAATTGCTCAATGTTAGACATCCATTGCTAACCGTTTAGTACTTAGCAAAGAAAAGAAAGAGAAGTATTTGTCACCACAGCACAGCACATTTTTTCCTCTAATGTTAGAAAACATTAAAACATACCTGAAGCAACACATCCTTCCCATCAAAGCTGATGTCACTTAGATGATGCGCTGTATTAAAGGTTCATTGTGTTCTGTTGTTCATTTGTCATTTTTCTGAGCAAATGCAAAGCGGAAGGGAAGGTTGCTATTTACCAAGGCCCCACTTCAAAGAGAGACATGGATTCTGAAGAATGAGGCAATTATTTTCTCATCCAGGTAATTAACACCATGGTTCCGTTTGCTCCTGCCCAAAAATGGTATTTCCCCCTTTCTGTATTTCTCATAAGATGATGAAGAAGAAGAGAAGAAGAGTTTGGATTTGATATCCCGCCTTTCACTCCCTTTAAGGAGTCTCAAAGCGGCTAACATTCTCCTTTCCCTTCCTCCCCCACAACAAACACTCTGTGAGGTGAGTGGGGCTGAGAGACTTCAAAGAAGTGTGACTGGCCCAAGGTCACCCAGCAGCTGCATGTGGAGGAGCGGAGACTCAAACCCGGTTCCCCAGATTACAAGACTATCAGCTCTGGTCATATGATTCTGTTGAGAGTTCAGCCTAGAAACCAATCTTCCAGTAAGGACAGTCAAAATGCTGAACCCTAGTTAACCCCTCATCTGTGCAACAACATTGGGACCTTGGCATGACGTGTGGGTGGTAAAATAAAATAAGAATTATGATGGTAGGGATGTAAGTTGGATTTGCCACTTACACAAGAGTCAAGCCTGTCAGAAGCTAAGACAGCAATTGTGTGTGATCGATAGATGATAGCTAGATAGATAGATACATAGATAGATGATAGATGATAGATAGATAGATAGATAGATGATAGATAGATAGAGATAGATAGAGATAGATAGATAGATAGATGATAGATAGATAGATAGATAGATAGATAGATGATAGATAGATAGATGATAGAGATAGATGATAGATAGATAGATAGATGATAGATGATAGATAGATGATAGATAGATAGATAGATGATAGATGATAGATGATAGATGATAGATGATAGATGATAGATGATAGATGATAGATGATAGATAGATAGATAGATAGATAGATGATAGATGATAGATAGATAGATAGATAGATAGATAGATAGATAGATAGATGATAGATGATAGATGATAGGTGATAGATAGATAGATGATAGATAGATAGATAGATAGATGATAGATAGACAGACAGATAGATGATAGATAACCCAAAATGGCTTCTAAGTGGTTTACAGCCATAACGTCAGTTATGAAAACCCATTTATGTTTAACACACACACATGAAAAGAGTTCCATCAAAGATATTTTGACGGGAGTATACAATGCAAAAGTTGACTGGACTACTAAAAAGTCCTTTAAAAATGTTGGGACCCTAGGCTGAAGGAGGGGTGATAACATACAATAAGAATTATGGTGGTAGTGATGCAAGTTGAATCTGCCTGTTTGACAGGAGTCAAACCTGTCTGTAGGCACAAAGGCAGGTGAGCCTGGAGGAACCAAGGCTGAGGTGGTCGGGGCAGTGCCCCATTTGCCCAGTGGATTCACTGCCACTGGTTCTAAGTGGGACTGAGTGATAAATGCTGGGTTGTAGGTGGTTCTACTGTAGACTTGTCTCCAGGAATGCAAGAGCAAAAGGAAGACAGGTGCTACTGTACTTGCCCAGGGATGCTTTGCTGTCAATGTTTCTTTGATGGAGCAAACATTGTGCATGCTGTCCACCCACCCGTCCCCCTATAATTGTCTTGGGGTAATGGGCTGTAACAAGCCTTCCAAAGCCCTTTCCCCACCGGTGCTGACTCTTCCTGGCTCGACAAATGAAAATCCTCTCAATGAGCTGTGATGACATTTCCTGCCCTGAACGTTCGGTATCTGTGAGTTCCCCCTGTGGCTTGAATGCTGCAGACGGTCTGTGCAGCTTCCGTAAATGTGGGCTGTGCCTTCTGTACATCTCCTCCTGGACTTTTTGATTTGCCTCGTGAGAATGGAACCGGGGGGAGTGCTCGCTTCAGCAGCACATATACTAAAATTGGAACGATACAGAGAAGAGAATGGAACCGGGGGGCGGGGGTGGAATAGGCTCATTGTGGGGCTCAATATTTGATATTGTTGCTGACGAGCTGGAAAAGATTCGGTTCTGAATATTTTATTAACTGCCAGCAGATTATTATTATTATTATTTTTTTAAAAAAAGAGGAAACTTGGCAGTGCCCATTGCTGTGACCTTTCTGCCTACCTACACAGCCAGTTTGTGCTTATATTACCAGGGAGTAGAGCATCCCCAACAGAACTGTGGGACCAGACTCAGTTTCCACACCCAACCTTTCCATGTTGAGGGGGGAACTGAGTTGCCTTTCCTAAGGGTACCCCAAATCTTGGAGCTAGAGTCTCTTCTTGACTCTGAGCCATGGGAGAAGAGCCATAGCTCAGTAGAACATCTGCTTTGCATGCAGAAGGTCCCAGGTTCAATCCTTGGCATAGCCAGGTAGGGCTTGGAATGTCTCCTGTCTGAAATGTGGGAGACCCACTGCCAAGCAGTGTAGACAACACCGAACTCAGTGGTCTGATTCAGTATAGGCCAACTTTCTAGGTTCTGCTGCTGTTGGTACATGTTTCCCCTCTTCCAGCATTGAAAGGTCCCAATGTACGGCTTTCAAAAGTTTTACTTCCTTTGGAAGGAGACTCAGAGTGTAATTGCAATATTTTGTTCTATATGCATCACTTTTCAGGGATTCTTTGGTTGCTTAGAGTGTGGTGCTGATAATGACAAGGTTGCAGGTTCAATCCCCGTATGAGACAGTTGCATATTTCTGCATTGCAGGGGTTGGACTGGATGATCCTCAGGGTCCCTTCCAACTTTACAATTCGTTGATTCTACGATTCATATAGAGCAAGCAGCATATATCTCAAGTAAGTGAAAGATCCCCTACCCCAGATCAGATCCCCAGAAGGAATTGCCTACATCCTCAAATGTCTTCTAGCCTACAACTCAAAATTGATCTCTATCCCTCCATCCCAAACTGGAAATTCCACAGAGCAGACTTAGATCTGCCCTTTCTCCTTGGCTGAGATGTGGTGGAAGGTATACTAGCTTCCTGTACCCTTCCCCAGTAAGAAGCCATCAACCATCCATCCTGAACAATTGATTGATGGATTGAGTCACCACCTTCCACACAAGATTTAAGATGATTTACAGACATAGCAGAAAAACAACCAAAATAGTTTTAAGAACAGTGCAAAACAATGACTTAGGATAGGTTTGAAAACAATACAGAATAACTCCTAAGGCAGAGGGATCTTTTCACCCAGCTTGTCAAAACAAGAATGTCTTCAATTGTTTCCAGAAAGCACAGATAATGGGTGCCTGTTGTAGCTCAGTAGTGATGATGTTCTACAGAACAGGGGCGGCCACAATGAATTGCTCTGCTCTGAATTAGCGGCCTCCTGATAATTTAGGGACTTTAAGGAGATACTGTCCTGCAGAATGCAGAGATGAACAGGGCACAGAAGGCACAAGGTGGTCTCTCAAGTATCGTGATCCTGAACTGTAGAGGGCCTTATATTCCTGAACTTGGCCTAGGAGCAGATGATCAGGCAGTGCAGATCCCACAGACAAGGTATTGCATGCTGGCAGCAGCTTCCTCTTACAAGCAGCCTAGATAGTGGCTGTGCAGTAGCTGCAGCCTCTGGACCAACCTCAAGGGCAGCCCCACATGAAGCACACTGCAGTAATCCAGACTTGTGGTTACCAATGCATTGACAACTGGTGGTCAAGCTATCCGGATCCAGAACAGCCTGTGGCTGTCTTAACAGCCAAACTGGGAAATGGCACTTGTACCCACCAAGGTCCATTGCGCCTCCAGTGACAGGCGCTGCACCCCAGGAATGGCTTCAACTGCCTGGCTAAACCAGCTGAGGGTAGCTGACGGGACTCAAACCCTTGGTGAGTTAGGGACTTCCCCTGCATGAGAAAATAGGCTCTGGCAGATTGAGCGGACAAAACCAATAGCAGGTCCAATGGTCAAGAAGGTAGTTTCTGCACATGCTGTTGTGTAGAGGGAAGTGAGGGGCAAATGAGGCACATCAACCTGGGACAGGAGCCCATGTAGGGAAATCTGGTCATAAACCTCTGCTGCTTTGCAGGACATCTTCTGTATAGAAAAGGCCAAGGGGTACGGCAGCAAGAATATTACTGGCACAGAAATGGAAACAAGAAGAATTACCGATGAAAGAAGAGTGGCAAATGAAATTAATGGACTATGCAGAATTAGACAAATTAACAGGAAGGATTCGAAACCTGCAGGACCAGAGATTCTTAGAAGACTGGAGTAAATATTCGAACTATCTAAAAAGCAATTGTAATAAACAGATTACGCTAGTAGGACTGCAAGAAGTTCTAGAAGGAGGATTATGTGAAGTATTGCAAGGAAGACTATGAAGAGAACTATTAATTAATGATAATTAAAAGTAATAGAGAAATTAAGAAATGCAGAACAAGTGATAAAGAATGGAAAATCTTCAGAGGTAGTTGATGGAAGTCTAAAATATTGTATAGGATAGAATTTATGTTAAATGCTTGTTGGAAATGATATGTTAAAAAATCAATAAAAATGTGTGTGTGTGTGTGTGTGTGTGTGTGTGTGTGTGTGTGTGTATATATATGGCTAAGGGGTAAACTCTACACAAATCCAGAGTGATGTCCCTAAGGCAATAGGATGACTTCTTGTGTGCCTCCTTCCAGCAACTCCTGCAGCCAAGCTGGTGCCAAACGTATAGCTCTGCTTTCCATTGGACCACATCAGTGAGGCTGAGAGGAGGGTCTTGTTGTCAGGGCAGCCCAGGACCTCCATAGCCACTGCCCAGTCTTGCACCCCAGGGAGGTCATTTTGGTGCTGCTACCACAGCACTTCAACTTCACCCCTAGAGGAGCACCCCATTGCCTCTTGAGACAGACGGATGCTGACAGAAACAACAATAGGTCCGTACACTGTAGCTTGGCTTTCCCCAATCTGGTGCCGTCCACATGCTTTGGACTACAATTCCCAGCAGCTGTGCTGGCTGAGGCTGATGGGAGCTGTAGTCCAAAACACCCAGAACACACCAGGATGGAGAAGCTTGAACTAGATGCTAACTATGGATGGCAGAGAGGAGAAGGAGATGGAATGAATGGGCGATGCTCCAGGACAGGGGTGAATATGAGTAAAAGCAACTACATGCCCAGTCCTCACTGGATCTCAAGTGATTTCTCTCTCTCCTCTTGGTATCGTCTTCCTCTATATTCACAACAGTATTTTTATGACACCCCAGCAGTGAAGGTCTCTGGGCATTTTACATCAAAATCATTAAATGGTCACTAATAATTAATTAAAATACAATATGAACAAAAAGCAAATAAGCCATCTCCACAGTAAAATGCACACTGCAGCAGAAGGTAAATGATACCATTCAATATAAACCATACAACTATTTATAACTATACAATTCAATACAAACTAAAAGAAACTTTTAAAATCCCCCAATAGGCCATCCTGTACTTGAAGATAACCAATGTGCCTCTCAATAGAGAGATAGACAGGCTTGATGCAACCCCTGATTTCCTCTGATTCTTTGAGGCATTCATCCACCACTTTTGCATGTTGTCAGCCCCTCTCAGAAATTCTGCGCTGGGCAAACAGGGTCTGAGTGCCAAAAGGATGCCTTTCCAGCGCTCCTGTGTAGGCAGGTACTATGATGCCTTGAATCTTGGATGTGGCGTTTCTGTTAAAAGAAGCCAAAATGGCAACTGACCTTTTGGGTCCCAACATCACATCCCTTGAGTCATGTTTAGAGCACGGTTGGACTGGCAGTGCTGGAATTTTCCCATTCCAATTAACCACTCCAAATGCCACTTCCACAGCCTATCAGAGCCACAGCAGGGAAGAAATCTCACACCTGTGTCTGTTTTCTTATGCAAAGGGATGCAGTGAATCAACAGACCTTTGCCCAGTTGTTGTTGTTGTTTTTCATTGCAGTGGGCGGGTGTCATAATCAAATAACAATAAATTCTGGAAGCTGAAAGGTGTTTGAGGTTAGAAGCAAAATCTGTTTGATCATTAAGAACTTCAGGAGAGTTTGCCTGCTAGATCAGGCAAAAGGCCCAACGTGCCCATATCCTTTTCTCAGGGTGACCAACCTGATGCTCATGGGAAGCCTACAAGCACAACCTGAGCACAACAGCCTTCCCCATCCTGCCTCCAGCAGTGGATGGTAGAACATGGCCAGCAGCCATTGGTAGTCTTATATTCCATTAATTTGCCAGCAGCAGTGGCGTAGCGTGGGGGGTGCAGGGGGGGCCGGCCGCACCGGGCGCAACATCTGGGGGTTAGGGTTAGGGGGCGCAAATCCACGGGTTAGGGGGCGCAAATTATTTGCCTTGCCCCGGGTGCTGACAACCCACGCTACGCCACTGGCCAGCAGATGCCTTGGAGGTTGATAAGAGACTAGAAAAGGAGTGTCCGTCATGGAGGCTGGTGCTCATTTGGGCTGGTAGGGCAGAAGGCAGAGAGGCCAACAGTAGGTGGAATCAGAGTCCATGATAAGTGGAGGCAGAAGCAATAATAGTCAGAGCCAACTGATTCTAGCTTTGTCCCTTCCTCGGCTGAGTGCTACAAAGGCAACAATGAGGCTAAGGAGGAGCAAACCTGATAAGGACAGCCGCAGTAATCTAACCTAGAGGTTACCAAAGAGATAGAAGTTAGACTATCCCTGTCCAGATATGGGCCACCAGCCAAAGCTAATGGAAGGCACTCCATGCCACCGAGATCACCCGAGCCTCAAGCAACAGCAGTGGATCTAGAAGTATCCCAAGCTGTGTACCCACCCCTTCATAGGGAATATAACCCCATCAAAAGCAGGCAACCTCCCATCCATCTGGTCTAGGAAACTGCCCACTAGCAGTGCTTCAGTCATATCTGGATGGAGCTTCAGTTTGTTGGCTCTCATCCAGTCCATTACCAAGCCAAGACAACAGTCTGACACATTCACTGCCACACCTGCAGATATAAAGGAGAAGTAGAGTTGTGTGACATCAGCATATTGCTGACAATGTACTCCAGAACTCTGGATGACCCCACTCAGCAGTTTCATGCAGATGTTAAACAGCATGGGAGATAAAATTGAACCCTGAGGAGCCCTAAACTGAAAGCTCCATGGAACCCTCCCCAAGCAACACTCTCTGGAAACAATCATCCAAGTAGGACTTGAACCACCACAAAGCAGTGCCACCCACGCCTAACCTGGACAATGACTCAAGAAGGATACCATGGTTGATGGTATCAAAAGCCACTGCAAGGTTGAGAAGAATGAACAAGGAAACATTTCTCCTGTCTATCTCCCAGTAGAGGTCATCAGACAGGGTGACCAAAGCGGTCAGTTTATGTGCCAAAACATGGCCTGAGCCTCAGCCAAAATGGATCTAGATGTTAAATAGCATTGGGGACAAAGTG